GCTGGTTTCGAATTAAGAAAATTTTCTGGCGAAAGTAAGACATGGAAAGACATGATCATGGACTGCTGTTGTTGTTGTCGTTAGTGTCGTTGTTAAATTTTGCCACACAGCAAATGTGTACATTCAAGTTCTAGTTTATTCATTGACAAAGGAGTCTCACATCATAAGTGATCGTCAAGATAATTTTCATGTGAAATGTAATGATTGATTATTGAGTTAATTAAATATTATAATGTAAAATAAATAGAAATAAAGCTCCTGTTCAAAGTGTTAGCATTGTCATGTTATTTACCCACTTTCGCGTGCATGTACTGTACAAATACCCATGCAGATACTGTACTCATATTCAGTTTTAAAAAATCCTACATTAATATAACAACCGATTTTCCATCAGCTTGGTGTTGAAGGGAATCCAGCCAATCTGTATGCTTCGTGAAATTATCGTGTGAAGAGACTTATCACAATTTGCGTCACCAACGTTATTACAAATTGCGTAGACTAACGTTTATTACAAAATGCTGCAACTCTTACTACAAAATACGTCGTTTTCATTTAATACAAAATACTGCAGGTAATTACAAAATGCTGCAACTTTTATTACAAAATGCGTAAGGTATTACAAAATGCGTAGTTATTACAAAATGCCGCAGAACACCATCACTTGGTTTTCCAGCGGCCAACATCGACATAAATAACATGCCAAACTCTGGCTTACACAGAATACATATTGCCTGGTTTTCTTGAAATTTAATTGTTTCAGGATGTAGAAAGCTTTATACGACCTCGTTTGAGACGATGCATGCCTCAAGTAATTTGCAGATCAGTCAGCTCTCGCGGTTTTAAGTGCAAGTTGGTTTTTAGTAGAATCACATTTCACGCTGTTGTTTTTTCGCGTGTCCGCCGGGTCTCAAAAGACATACATTGGAGTTATTTCGTCTAGCTCACTACAAAAGGAATCTATCAAAACTTTCAGTGATAGGCAAGTGTAGAATTTCTGTCAGGTAAGTTTGACAGATCTTGTCAGACGGTTATATTGTGATACAGATTATTGCATTTTTATTACATTTTCACATTTTCTTTTAATTTTGCTTAGATATTTTTTTTTAACGAGGAGCTGTATATTATAACTTATGAAAATTTGACATGATCAGGTAATTAGTCTAAGTACTCGACACGGGTAGATGTTACCGCGAAAGACTTTGCAACCAACAGTTTTTGATTAGAAATCAAAACTGTTGCACTGAGCCCAGTTAATGATAACAATTTCTGTGCTGAGTAAGATTTGCTTGGCTGGTTTCAAGAGCTACAATTTAATGAAGTTCGTGCTCATTGTTTCTGCGCATCCTTTATCCGCACGTAAGTCATGTCGCAATGTAACATTTCGGACGACGATTCCGGAAAGCGACGTGGCACGAGGAGCCTAGAGCAGCGACTTGTGTACTCCCACAGTCATTGCTAGAATACCAGATATGCAGTTGTGCAACATTTACACAAATCACGCCCAAGGACAAATATTGAAAAACAGACGATTACTTCTAATTACTTTTATGGAAACAGATCATTGGGAAGAACTCCCAATCCATTTCAAAAACCTTGACGTTATTTCTTTTCCAAGAACAATAAAATATTAGTTACTGCCATAATTAACTTATATTCTTTCCCTAATCTAAACTGTAAATTCTTTCTTAACTCCTCCCTCCTGTTTTCCAATAAACATGAAAAGGTTGGAGTTTATTCGAAACCACAAGATTGGCGCTGCAATTGTACAGTGACTAACTGGAAATACAGTCAGATATGACACCTCGGCTCCCTTTTCCCACACGACATCGAATCCTGCCATCTTGAAAGTTAAAATCTAAAAATCTAAAAATAACGTACTTCATAATTGCTGCGGAGTGAGCACAGCGAGCGAGCACCAACATAATCAGGATTTAAGAAGAATATATAGGGGGTGCGAATTCTCGAATTTATCACTTTTTACCAGAGTGCACTTCGCCACTTTTTACCAGAGTGCATTGCGCCACAAACACTACGAGGATGTCACACCGTCGAGCCGTCGTCCTTTATCGCGTGGATTCCAGTGAGAAAGGTTTTATAGTGGTTATGTTTTGCTCTGATTTACCTGAAAAACGATGCGAAGGAGATCGTGCTTGACTTTCACAACTCTTGTTTTTGTTCTGAAAGTTTGTAAATCTGGACGATTAGCGTGTTTCTGGACGATTAGCGTGTCTCTGGACGATTAGCGTGTCTCGCCTCCTTGGTCGAATTGTTAAATGAAGATAAATCGTCGTTACTAAAGCTTGTAGAGTAATTAAAACAAACGAAAACCGTAGAACACGCTATGCGATGCGATCTATTCCTTTTCATCTAAACATGAATTTGAGCTAAAGCTTTAGCATTGTCACACATCGCGATGGACGCGTCCTCGACACAGTCTGTCAGCATTCTAGAGACATTTAATGCGTACCAGTACAGAATTTAGATTTCTGCTCGTACAATTTCCACATCTTTTGATTTTCGAGACCTGGTAAAGGGGAGGATGGTGTGTATCCTTTTGTATCCAAACATAGTTTAGATCATTATGTGCTTTTTTGTCTCTATCCCTTGTCACATCTCACCATCGATGCATCGTGCATACAAGGACAAATTCCCCACGATTTGACACTACTTTAAGAAATAAAGGTTAATGTTAGTCTTGGAACGCGCAGGTAGATGAATTACTGCGTAAAATATGTCACTATCAAGATAATGTGCCGTAGCACTACTAACTTTTGGATACCCTCGGCCCTAGTGTTAATAGATAACAACTAACTAACAACTAGTACTAATAGATAACAAAAGCATCAGAAACAATAAAATAAAACAAATGACTTAATACTACATTAATATAGACTAAGCAGTAAGACTGATTAAGATAAATTAAAATGCGGCAATAACCTCTGGTTGGCCAAACAACGTTTCCTCATTGCTTGTTTGATTTAAGGTTTATTTTAAGTACAAGATTAAGAACGCCTTTAAGTACATTACAATTGATTAAACCATGTTCACAGCTTGTAGTCTGAGTATATATCAAAGCTAGAGAGGTTCCGATTCGCTTCTTTCACGAGTGTCTTTCCTCAACTAAGTTCCCGGATACCCAGACAAACAAAGAGAATTTTAAGCAATACAATAAACCCATACAGGCCGTGCTTGTCAGCTCGTCTGAAATCCTGTTAACTTTTTATCTCAGGAAATCTTGTTTCACATTTGTTCACACGTCACTCCTTTACCAGTCCTTGATCGTTTCCTGAGATTTCTTGTATGTTTACCTAGTTGTTACTTATTTTTGCGAGACTTAATTTTTTCGATTTTTAAAGAATCGAGAAATTAAAGACCCGCGAAAAAAAGTTTTCGCGAAAATTAACAGCGCGAAATTTAATACCCTGCTGAAAGAAGAGTCAGCTCTTTCTTCCGAGGGTCTATTTGAAGAATATTGACAATGTCGTTCAGTTGTAAGCGCAAATAGATGCCGGTGTCATGTACTCTGTAAAGCTCTGCTTTGTTACAAAGGAACATATCAAACTATTCAGTTTCGTTTGTTACATTGATAAAACTGCAATCAGTTGTGCTAATTCTCAGACAAACTGTTTGTTAACGAAGATCAGTATTATGACAATTTTCGCGAAATTTAGTTCCTTTTAACCTACTTATTTGCTAAACCCGCGAAATTTAAGTCCCGCGAAATATGCCCGTTCCATTTTCGCGAAATTAAGCTTCCGTGAAAATAAATAACATTAAAGTACTAAATTTTCAAAACATTGCTAGATTTTGAGACTTTTGAGGGATAACTAGTATGAAGAGAGGTTGCCTGCGAAAGCGTTGTTCGTTGTAGCTTCAAGATTAGTTCTGCACTAGTGTTGACGTTGGCTAGATGCCACCACGTACGTGAGAGGATATCAAGGAACGAGTATCGGGAAAGAATATTCGACATGTGATTTACCTGCACCAACTACTATGTATCTACTAAACACGTACACTGAGAAAAGGTCAAGTAGTAAAAGTCGTCGACAAAATCTAACGAATTCCATCAGTAAAGAGAGTAACTAAACAAAAATTCTAACTATGGTCTTAATGCTATCAGCCAAGAAAGTGGGTAGCATTACAAAAACATGTGTGATCATCCGCCAATCGACAGCATTTAGTTTTGACCCTCGACCGGAAATGATAAGTCAACAAATAAAAACTCTTCAAACAAAACAATTTGTTTGTTATTCAATTAGTGAAAACAACTTAAATGATGCTTATTGATCACCAAGGCAGTAACACCTGTTATTTCAGTTTGCAAGCAGCAAATGAACCCGACCTTCCATGGTTCGAGTCGCTTCTACCTAGACTGATCCATCGATCTCATTAATACCTGATACAGAACTGATAAGGTCTCAAAGCAAAACCACTTATGTCTAAGATTTTGCCAAAAAAACGCCTCTCAACGTTATTTTTCCACTCCGCCGAAAGTAAAACGTCTATCGAACTGACAACTTACTGACTAATATTACCGTGACAATTGTGAACAACGGAAAAACACGGATGAACAGATGAACAAACCCACGGGAAAAGAAACTCTTTCTTTCCTTTTGCCTCTTGCAACAAACGAACAAACAAGTACACAAACAAACAAAAAATAAACAAAAGAGAGGCTGATACTGTATTTTGTAACTCAACATCGAACTTTGCGGTTGTCAGACTACTATTTCCAGCCTGATTATTTTTCAGGCGTGAGTCTGATAGGGTCAAAACAATGAAGTTAAGGACTGCAAAAGGATCTGGGATTAAAGATGACTGACGGATAACCTTTCAGTCAGTGAAATCAGTGATAGGTAAATTAGCTGGCTAATTAGGACAAAAAGCATTTACGTGTACATAAATTGTTATTCGGTATGTACTTCTGTTGCGGTTCGACAAGTTGAAAGTCCGCCAGATTTTTCTCACACTCGTAAGAGAGGTTCACACACGAGATGGCTCCTAACGATAGTGGTCTATTCAACAAAACCAATTTCAACATGCCACCGCAACAAAGCGACGACAATCAACAGACCTTACCGCTCGTGGCTGTGTCACTCCTCATTCTCATTACTCTTCTGGGTACGACTGGAAATCTGCTCGTTTTAAGAGCGATATTTACCCTGAAGAAGCGAAACCTCAACGATTATCTCATTTTGAACTTGGCTGCCACCGATACAGGGACATGCCTTGTGAGCATTCCGTTAGACGTCGTCGAAAAGATGAAGGGTGAATTTCCTTACGGAGCTGCTCTTTGCCACGTGATCTATCCATTTCAGTCCGTACTCGTCTACGTGTCTGTACTAACACTGCTGTTCATGTGCGTAGATCGCTACAGGTTGATAGTAACGCCGCTGAAGCCGAGAATACACTTGAAAACTGGATTAACAACCATTGCTGCGATGTGGGCTTCATCTTGTTTGATTGTGCTGCCTCTGTCACTTGCCCTAAAGTTTAAAGGATCCCATTGCAGCGAGGAATGGTGGAGTGATTACAGCGGAAGAATGTTCACCCTCACTATCTTTACATTCCTTTACCTCATACCAATGGTTATCATGACGTTTCTCTACGCGTTCATTATTCAAGTGTTGTACAAAGACACCAGATCTCTAAAACTGAGGAGAAATGTGTCGGCGAGTTCCCAGCTATCAGCCAGTCTGCCACAACGCAATTTGAAGATTGTCCAAGTGTTTGTCATGGCTGTAGTGGTGTTTGGAGTCTGCATGTTACCGACACATGTCACATGGATGTGGCACGATTTTGGAAGCGGTTCCAAGAGACCTGAACTATTTAACAAGGCAGTAACATTTAGCAACATTCTTATGTATGCTAACTCTGTCGTCAACCCCGTTATCTTTGGCTCAATCAACGTAAAAACTCTTGAGAAACTTTGCAAAGCATTAGTTTGCTATCGCTCGGAAAGAGAAGGCAGCTACCATGAGCTTGACCAAGTGTTTGTTCTTCGAACTAACTCTCCTTCACCGCCAGACGTGCGCCCAGGAGATAGACCAGCGTCTAGACCTTCGGAAACTCCGCACTTTTATATTTTTACAAGCTCAGTGTAGCAAAACAAGCTCCACGGTAAACTAAATAACAGTTATGGCTCGTTTATCCCCGAGCACTGAGAAAACAAAAGCGTACAATACGTTTGCTTCCACATATCGCCGGGAAAGTCCGATGTAAATTTAATGGCCGTCTTTCGAATGATAACTTGTGTTTCTATGCATGTTGTTTGCTATTTTCCGTAGATAAGCAGAGAAGGAATTGTTCATTGTTTTAGTGTCTATGCATGTGTCGTTCCATACATCATCTTGGAGTTTAAAAAAGAGTTGGTTCATGGTTCTTGCTCTCGTAAAGCTAGAGTTGCTCTTGGATGCGCCTCGATTAACCGTTACGCTTCCCGGCCCCTCGTGCCCTCCCTAATTTCCGCTGGCGTACCTTTGGGTCGATAAACTGACGCTAAGTGTGGACCAGTTCTTAACCTCTATCGAGGAGTTAGCTACATTTCACAGACGCTGTTACCATGCATAAAACCCGGTCAACGGTAGTCGACATTCATATATTCAAAGTTAACTCCCTAAAACAACTTTGATTTACAGTATTTCAAACAAACTTTGCTAACGAACAATTTAATTGAAGTTAATTGTTAATTACTGTTAAGACGTTTGATCATAATCGTAGTTAACGGAGACTGAAAAAATAAAGTTTGTGGTTGTTTTTTCACACAGCACTTTGTCAACCTGTGAACAGAAATTGTCGGATAAACAAGATCACTTCTTCAATATCATACTTTAAATAAGAAGTGCTACAGACGGTGTCGTGCTGTGAATGAAGCGAATCGGAAATCACTCTTTGGCCTGGCTTTTCTGGAGGCGGCCATTTTATCGATGTTTACGAATAATGTTATGAGAACCAAGCTTATATCAAGCAAACTTTATTGGGTTATTTTAAGTGTCAACAAGAATTTCCACTCCCACGCTCTGAATTTCACGTTCTGTTCTGCTGAAGGACATGTGTTGAGTAGGGAATGAGGAAAGCTTTACACAATAATCCAAATAATGCGAGCTTGGGGGCAAACGCCAACGAAAAGAAAAGACTGAACATCATAGACCAATTTTAGACATCTTAATCTGACTGCAAATTAAGAAGTGGTCTCTCGCATGATCTCAGTGACCTTACTTGAATAACAAAATATAAGGTTACAAAAAACTGGTCATAAAGTATAACGAGTCCAAAAAATATAAATTTTTCTACGTATACGCACGCAAAGGAACAAATACGCCCACAGCAGACCCAAGGGAAGAAAGATAGGGTACGGTAATATTCAAGTTTTGGAAAAAGCGACGATGAAAGTGTCATTGTTTCAAGCAAAACCTTAAATTTGGTAAAACTGGGAGAACTCGTTGCTTGAGAAACTCGTGAATCGTGCGCATGCGTAAAGAACGGGTTATAGCAGACCAAAATGTAATAGTTGAAAAGTTGTAAATAGTGATAACACAGTGCCAAATCAAAAACGATGTTTATAGCAGACGTTTTGGGCCTAGCCCTTCCTCAGTGCTAAGTCCAAGCACTGAGGAAAGGCTAGGCCCGAAACGTCTGCTATAAACATCCTTTTTAATTTGGCACTGAGTAATTATTATTTACAACTTTTGAACTGTTTACTGTGCCACGCAGTAACTGATCCTTTTGGATTACAAATATTTATTTCAAAATGTGATAGACCAGTCGTAAACTCACCCCTTGCACCACAAACAGTTGAGTTCATGGCTGACAGTTTCAAAATCGATGAATTGATCCTTTGTGTTTGGAGCTGCAAAAGCCTCGAAAATTGAGGACAATATTTGATATAGAAAGGTTCACGAGTCCGAAATCTTATCACTATGCCGAGTCGCCGACTCACTAGCCGCTGTAAAACTGCCCCTATAAACTTACATGAACCCGCGAACGGATCAATTTACAAATTACTCCACTGGAGATCTTTGATTTATAAGTAATATTTTGTTATGGTGCGTGCAAAGCGGGGGCTTTTTAACCATTGACATGACTAAAATGTGACTTTTTTTAACGAACGCAACTTGGGAAGAATTCAAATTCAGTAGATTCCAAAAAGCTCAAAAGGAGAAAGTAACCTATCAAGGGAGCGATAGAAGTAACGTAAAAACACTTCAATTTTAAGAGGGATGAAGAGCTTCACAATCCTTACACTGTCCATACATTTTTAACCAGAAAGGCGAAGAGAATAAAGAAAATCATCAAGGGAAAATGGTCATGATTGGTCGCCAAATTCTCAGAACAATTTAAGAAATATAGGGCAATTAGGGGAGAAACAAGGCTGGGAATGAAATTGTAATAACGTTTATCTTAATAAAGTTCTTTTCCTTTTGCACGTCTTTCACAAAGAAGCGCATGCAGTGTGGGACAGGGTGATTTCTCAACTTTCTTGAGACAGGGGACTGAAGGAAGAGAGACCCTGGGAACGAGGTTGGGTGCCGTTATAGCTAACCTCTTAGCAGATGACTGTGCATACGTAGGTGCATGTATGCAAGTATACGTTGTTTTCATGGCAAACGAACCCAGCCATAGCTGGGGCAAAACTGTACTCAGTGGAAGAAGAAAAAATTGAAATATACAATCTTCAAACATGTACAATGCAATACAATACAGTACAATAATATTGTACTCGGGCTGGTTTCGGGGGAAAATGAAGGTATTTATCTATCTCTGTAGCACAGTCGGATTCAAAAACTAAAGGTCTTCCTCAACAGTTAGTCAATCTTTGCACACTTTCATTTCTTTGTAGCTTTTGCACAAAAAATTCTATGTATGTCAAGAACGAGTTTAAGAACAAGAGCGCAAATTTTGGATATATTCCAACATTTTAAGCGAACTTTAAGCGACGTATATTGCTGTGCTGGGAGCCGCGTAGCAACATTATCTAAATCCAAGTCCAAGTTAAAATTCTACTGTCACGTGTATGACGAATTTAACATTCCTCTAATCAAGTGAACAGCAATTACTGCGGCTTGTGAAAGTCACATGTGAACTTTGCAATTCTTTCTACACCCTTATCTTTACGTATGACTTCAAATTTATTACTTATAATTACCAGATAAATTCTTTAGCTTTTTAAATATTAATATACATCTATCAATTAACACAAAAGAAAGGGAAGAATGTTAAAACATCCAACAATCACATGAGCTCAACATTTTGCCTTCACTACACCACCGTAAGACAGCGAAAACCTATGAGAATGTCACAAGGTGCTCAACATTCCTTGTTTACAAACGCCCTAACAATGATCCTTCGCGTTTTACGCTCGCACCGAGATCTCTCGATTCACCGTGTCGGCAAAATATTAATTTGTTTTAATTCAGATTATCATAAACAACTCCCCGGGAACCCCATGTGAAAAGGTCGGGGGTGCTTGTCGGAAAATTTGAGTTAATCCCATAAATGAGACCAATATAGGCGGTGCTCGAGCTTTATTTTACCCCTAAAAGATACCACTTTAAAAGGGATAGACAGAAATTTAATTATTTCTTTGAGTGCAACAACCCTAAGAGATACCTTGAGAGCTTAAAACTCCTTAGCGAGACGACGAGCCTCTCCAACCTTTTCACTTGAGAGCCGCCCCCGGGTAAACAACACTTTTCAAGTTAGTGTATCACCAACTGTAGCAAGCCTGCATGCGTCGTCTAAATATTTTCAGCTAGTATTGATAGAATAGATAATACAAGTCAGTGATGTGTACAGAAGAGGCGTAGAGAAGAGATGGGATAAGGAGTGAAAACGGAGCTACTAAAATTTACAAAATACCTCAAAACAATCATTTATAGTCTGTATTAATAACTTTTGACTTAAAACTCTTTTTAACTTATACATCTTAGTTTCTCTAGTATATAGTACTTTTAATATATGTATATATTATTTGTTGTAATAAATAGTAGTTATATTAAATAAAAGACTTGGAGCCCATTTCAAGCGTGGAAAGCCCGGATAACGTTACTCTAGGAAGTTAATCAGCGCTTTGCCAACGACTGTGGCAAGTTCTTATTTTTACGTTTAACTGGGTTTAATCTAATGCAGCTAAACGGTTATTGGTTTATAAATATTGGCAAATCAGGACGCGAGGTACAAAATCAAAACCGAAAAGGACTAGCTTATGTGACTTTCCCGCGCTTTTAGAGTGAGTTCTGAATGGTTTAAAGGTCTATTTGCATCTTTACAGAAAAAGCAAAAAGTAAAAAGTGAAGTGCTCTTCCTTTCTAAATGGTTGGTGCTACTCATGCACTGATATCTTAAGAAGCGGGTAAAGAAAATAAACTCTAGTAAAAAGGACTGTAAAATACTTAGAATTATTCTGGTACCAGATTTTTGCTCGATTTAGCGTCCAAAGCGTGACACCAACTTGCGTCACGTCGTTCATTCAAATATAGTGTCAGAGCGGTTTTCAATCGAGTGTCGTAAAACCAAAACCAAACTAATTCCTTACCAATTAGACTACTCAGTCAATCTCAAATCGTAGTGATGCCAAAACCAAAGTAATTACCTTATTACTTTCGACACTCATTTGAAAACCGCCCTGGTCGATTTTGGAATAAATAGCTGAAAACTGAATAGTACACAAGGCAGTGTTATATATAGTTCTGTTCCATGCTCTACCATGCTTGGGTGTAAGTACTTGATAAGCACGGCAGTTCTAACTAAGTCTCGATAATCATACATATACACTGTCGATAACGGTATTTCTTAAAGTATACACAATTAAAGCGCACGCATCTCAAAGTTCTACAAAATAGAGTAAGAGCACTCTTGAAGGCTGTATTCTAATCACAGTATTTCCTTACCAACGAGGCCGTGGGGAATCAAGATCGAAAAAAAAATCAATAATTCTTTACAGCCCAGCAGCGATGAAATTGTCCATGAACAGTGGTAACATTAAATGAACTGAAACTACAGCCTTCAAAAGAACGGGTGAATAACCTCATTCTAAAGATTGTGCCCTCCCCACCCTATCCCTGTTTCAAGAATAAGCAGTATCACACGCTATGATTATTATTTAGACTACTCTGGCAATATTTCAACTAATTTTCTTGAAAGCTATAAGCTCGCACATGGAAGCAAACGACGAAAATCATATTAAAAACAGGCTTATGTCACTTCAATTCCAAAGATTCCTTGCACTAGCTGCCATTGCAAGCCATTTTTAGTACAACTGCAAGAGTAATTGTCCTCTTTCCCTCACTCCACCGTTATAACGTAGTCTCCAAAAAGTTTGCATTAGTTCGTCGACCGGTCAGCGGCTGATCAGCGCGCTCAAAGTTGGAGCTAGCGTGGTGTAATGTCTCTGATGCGGCTTGTTTAAGCGGGTTTCTCTTTCGTCTCCCAGTGCGCGGTTTGACAGATCCCAGAAGGAACTCCTCTTCCTGAGAAATGTTAAGACCCGAGTCCGACACCGAAAACCGGGACTCTGGACCCGAAGATTCAACCGAGCGCGGTTTCGGTCTTCGGACAGCCTCGCCATTAACATGCACGGCTTGCTTGGAGAAGAGAGAAACTTTGTCATTATTTCCTCTGTGATTATCGACATGGTCGCTTATGGTCCGGAAATATTGCGGCCCATTTTTGCGGTGTGGACTATAAGGAGTCAGAACTTCTTCTGATTCCCTTCCATCCACTGAGTCTGAGGAAAGAGTACTTCCGTCTAAGTCAAAAGACGAAAATTGCGTCTGATACTTCCTGGCTCGCGGACGAGGGAAATTCCAGTACAAAGACGAAGAAAAGTTCGCTTGAATTTGCGAGTCGTACTCAAACGTTCTTGGCGGTTTCGGCGGCGGTTTGTATCGGAAACTTTGCCTGCCCTCGGACCTTTCAGTCTCGAATGTTCGTGGAGGTTTCGGGGGCGGATTGTCGTTTGCTCGGCTATAATCAAGTTTTGTGCTTATTGAGCCGGCAGATGTAGCCTTGCTAGCAATTTCCTGTAGTTTCGAGGTTTTCTCAGAGCCTGGTGAATCGGAATGGTCTGTGTTCGCGCGAGGACGTGGATGTATGTCTATAACGTTATCAGTGCTTTGCTGAACAGTAGGAAGAGTGTAGTCTACCCAGCTAGCGGACACGCGCGTGGACGGCGCGCTTTCTTCTAAATCGGAATCTTCAAGGCCGCTCTCGGGGCGGGCTATCGGTGCTTTACGTGCTTCTGAAATGAGGGCAGATATCCGCCATAATGGGTGATGCACATCTGTTATGAGAACAAAGAAACCATTTACAGAATAAACGAAATGGATTAAAGATTTATTAAAGGTGCCTGGGGCAAATGTTCGTCCACTTAAAACTAGTTTCATACTTGTTAGTCGACAAAATTAAGAAATAACGTCAGTAAATACATCGCAAATTGATAACAAAACGAAAATAGGCAAAAGAAAATAACACGCAAGCTTCAACAGGCAAAGCGAAAGATGAGGAAAGGCACGTGGATAAAGAAGCTATAAACATGTGTTGGGACACATTTCCCTGATCTTCTCAATATTGATACACAAACTGGTTATATTGAAACTGCTCATTTTAACATGTAAATTTAAGGGAGGGGAAGGGTTTGTGATAGACAGCCACAGGGATGATTACACGCTATTCCATCTGTTTCCGGATTTATTGTTTACTGCCTAAGTAAGGATAACTAAGATCAATTATGTAAACAATTCAAAATAAAACAAGCGTTGTAAGGAGTCTGAGCGAATTGACTGTACAAAGCACGCTGCGCATGACGGGACGCTTTGCAGATCAAATTAATCAATCCCACTGTACATAGCAAGCGTACCTGGTTAGTTTTCTTAAAGTGACTGCATTTAAGAAACACAGTGACACTGCACAAAAATAAACAAGGCAAACAATAAAGATGCCATGGTGTATACACGAAAAAGAACAACATCAAAGCAAGTGCAACAGCCTTATTAGCATGAGCCATTAAATTATAGACGTTCACTAGGCAACAGTGACATTCACATCTCAAAATAACAGCAACAACGACAAAAGAAAAAAGAGCAAAATGAACACAAATTCAAAATAGCCTGAACGTTCTGGATGTGTACACATCATCGAGAAGACGAAACAGAGAAGTAAAAACAGCAGTGAAAAGAGAGTAAACTAAGCAGCAAAGAAGAACAAGTGAGAAGCAAAAAAAAGTAATGCTTTGATGAACATACAATACAATACAATACAATACAATACAATACAATACAATACAATACAATACAATACAATACAATACAATACAATACAATACAATACAATACTTTATTTAACCACGCGACACTTAGGAGCGCAAGCGCTCGTTAAAACGTGTGCGTGAACTCAAAATTGTATAAAAGAAGAAAAAGAAGAAATAGGATTATATAATCTATGTAAATCTATGTATTTTTTTATTAGAGAGCGACAGAGAACAACGCCTACTATATCTAAAATTAAGCTTCTAATTCATCACAGAGGTGTTTCATGTTTACATTTGTAATTCAAGAATCGTCACATTTTGTTAAAGTTTTAATGACCTACATGTAAGGGTGTGCCGCGCGACATGTTAAACAATTAAATTAAGAAAAGCAACTCATTTACTTGTTTAAAGCAGTCATGTTTGTAGGAAAAATTGCCATTTAGTTTAGAGATTCTTCAGTCTGTCGGGGTTTTCTCAGCTCAGAGCTCAGGAAAGCGGCACCAAAATAAGGAAACGTAACACAAGTTACAATTAAACTTGTGACTGCGTGTTTCAACTGTTTATTCCTTGTATGGTAGCCAACTTCCTTAGCAGGGGCTGCAGAGAGGACCCTTTCGCTACCTTCAGTAATTTTAAATAGCCGACTTTTAGTGACACGACTCCAAGACCTCTACTGACTGGAAGTTTAACTAGAAGCTGGAGATGAATAATGGCAAGCAGGAACAAACTTACAGCTCGCTGTACTAGCCATGCTCGATGACAAACTGTACATTACCTTGTCTAAACTGTAGTAACGCTGATTTCAAAGCTGTCGAGGCTTTGCATATCAGCAGGAACGTCAAGTCCAACTTCTGCCGTTCAGTCAAAGAAGAAACGAAAAAAGAAACAGTTTACAGAGGGAAAAAAGGAAAAATAAACATAGAAGGAGCCGTTCAGTGGAAGGGTAAAATTGGTCATGCACTCTGATAAGACATGTAGTTCAGTTTACTAACAATTTTAAAAGTAATGTCTTAAGAGAACACGTTTAGTATATGTTAATATGAAATGCAGTTGAGTTGCTGTTAGCTATATTCGGTTAACAGTGTCGGTTAATGGTTTAAAATAAAACTTTTAAGTAATATATTCAGTTTTCGAATGATTTGTGTAGAATTCTCTCCGGCACACTTTTATGATTAATTTGGAAATGCAAAGAGACGACAAAAGGGTCAATATTTAAACGTTTAAGGGCAAAAAGGTGACAATTTACTTTATCCTCCAATTATTTTTCCTTACTTTGCTTTCTTAGGGTTTAAAATATTAAGACTCAAATGGAAAACGTATGCACCGAAAGGAACAAACAAAGTCATACTGTAAAGAGGTTCACAAATGGCGTGGGGCTTCAGTGTCTTAACTTATTTATTTTATCTTCTATTGTAGTTTGGGGTTTATATTAGAATGCATTTGTCATGGTGTTAATTTAATGCGATGCTGGATAGGTTTAAAGACTTATGTTTAAATACTGAAAGAACAGCCTCTGTTATTTCTGGTGTGCTAATAAACAAATTTAAAACAAAACTTAACAGTAGCAAAGAAGAAAACAAACGATGTGATAACAAACACAGGTCAACCCAAACGCAGCGAATACTGTACAAGTCAAAAGTAGGATTAACACTACACTATGAGTTGGCGCAAAACACCACTACCACCAAGCAGCCAGACAGGCTTAGAAACCAGCATAAGCGTACAAAATGTTCATAGATACAGAGCAGTGGGAGAGCAAATTACTGGTAAATTTTTTTGGTGTAAACATGATTGAGAAAACAAACAGGCACTTAACTAAACAACTGGAATCGAATACAAAGAACTGGTCAGCGTAATATGGAACCTGACTCCACAGAACAACATCTTATCAACTTTTTTAAGAGTCCTGATCTCGCTTCCAATGTGTGGCTTCATAGCTCAGTTGGTAGAGTATCGCACCGGTATTCGCGGAGGTCACGGGTTCGAATCCCGTTGAAGCCCTGATTTTTTTTCAGGCTTCTTCTTTCCAACTGCTTAAATTGGAAAATTTACTGCGATGATCATTCTTCCCCTTCAGTCCTGACATATGTTTCCTCAAACAAAACTGGTTACGTAGTAAAGTAAAGAGTCAAGGAGAGACCTGCTAGCGCCAGATTGTCTATCACAAAAGAAAGGATGTTGCGAGAAAAACAAACAAACAAGCAAACAATCACCCGACGTTTCAGACCGGGAAAGAAGAAGAATCATTTTTGGCACAGACCTGCATCTTAGATAATTGACTGAGTCCGCGATTAAGGCTGAAAAGCTGCTGAGTAACATGAAGAATGCTGTTGACGACATGCGAACCGCTTGTCTTATTTCTGTCTGATCGGATAAGATTCGAGAACTTTTCGGTGCCTTAACAAAGCCTATGGAGCTTTGCCGAAAACAGTGCCGACTGTACACCGGGGTGCAAAATTCCAAGGAAAGAGGGCAAACAAAACAAACAAACAAACAAATTCTTCCCTAGGGAAAAACGCCCGGGGTACAGTTGATAACAAAACCCAAAATGTAGGACGACTGCATGTGATTCAACCATAGTTAATTCAACAAAATGCAAATGACACACATTAAAAAGATATCTTAAAGGTAGTACAGCCGGGTTTAGACCGTGAAAACAATAGAAACACGACCTTACCGAGAGCCAAAGAATCAGCCGACGCCACGCTCTCTAGTCTATCCTCCTCTACAGCACGAACAGTAATCTCTACAGGAATCAATGGAAAGAAAACGCAGACAACAGGATTAACACAGACGATATTAACAGAGACCTTTCGCATCATGTCTACTTAACAAGGCCAGAGACAAAATTGCACTTACATGTAGTCTAGTAAACAATTAGATTTTGAGCTTGAGATTTTATCGCGTGATAGTTGACGAGGGCGCAGCTCGAATCAACGATCACGCGAACGAAATTTAAATCCTCTCCTCACAGAGAGACGAAGTCGCCATCACACTGTTAGGCTACTCATTATCTTCAACAGAATAGTCAGCGAGTAGCGCAGCTAATAAGAGAACGGCATTCGTGATAGAACACTTGTAGATTTATAGTTATGATCGATACTCCCCTACAAGCTACTATTCTAAGGTCACAATCACTAAGCCCTCCTGGGCTACGATGCACCCTGAAGTATTTTTGCCCATAAAAAAACCCAAAGACTTAAGAGGGTATGGTACCCTAAAATATGGCGATGTTCATGAAAAATTCAATTTCTTGGAAATACAAGACTTACGACCCTTGAGGACTTGTCAAAAACATTTTGAAACGATCTTGCCGAATTTCCTTCCAGATGAGTGTGAAATTTAAGGAAAGTACACAGTGGTATAAGTTTTTTCACGTAGCAACGGCCATAGAAACGACTGTTTACTATAAGAACGTGACCAAAAATATAGATTATTTTTAACTTATATGAACGAAACTATTTAGAAAAAACTTTTAAGACGTGCACAACTCGATTGGTATAATTATTTGTGAAAAGCTTTGCCTCGAATTGCCATCACAGGCTCATTCATTTCCCTTATGA